ATATTTTTGGGATTTTTCAATGTTTCGATTTTTCGACTTTTCGATTTTTGGACTCCTGGATTTTTGCTTTCTGGGTTTTTTACTTTTTGGATTTTCAATGTTTCGTTAAACTTAGGATTTTTCAATTATTCGACTATTTTATGCTTAGATTTCTCAATTTTTGCAAATTTCGATGTTTTAATTTTTCAATTTATCGATTTCTCGAGTTTCCCGTTCTTCTTTATTTCAATTTTTCAATTTCTAATTTCTCGATCCTCTGATTTATCGAATTCTTGATGTCTCAGGTTTTTTTTTATTTTTCGATGTTTAGATTTTAGGATTTCTTGGTTTTTCGATTTTTTACTGTTGGGCTTTTCAATTATTTTTCGATGTACCGATTTTTTAGCGATCCGTTTTCTCAATTTTTTTTCGATTTATCAAATTTTAGATTTTCGAATTTTTACCTTTTGATTTTTTAACGTTTGGATTTCTCGATTTTTTAATTTTGGCATATTTTAATTGTTCCATGTGTTTTAAATTTTAGATGTTTCGATTTCTCGATTTTTTATTTTTCAGTTCTGCAGTATTTCTATTTTTCAATTTTTCAAATTTTGACGTTGCTAAATTTTTGAGTTTTCCGATTTCTCATTTAATCTATTTTTGACTTTCCCATTTCTCGACTTCTCAATGTTTCGATTTTTCTTCAATTCTTCAATTTTTCGATTTTTCGACTTTGCTTTTTGGTTTTTCGATTTCTCAATTTTCCAATTTTTTTTAATTCTCACTTTTTTGGATTTCTTTCAGTTTTGGGATTTCTCAATAGCTCGATTTTTCGACTTTTCGATTTTTGGACTTCTGGATTTTTTGATTTCTCGGTTTTTTAGTTTTCGGATTTTCAATTTTTCGTTAAACTTAAGATTTTTCAATTTTTCGACTATTTTATACTTCGATTTCACAATTTTTCAACTTTTCGTTGTCTTAATTTTTCAATTTTTCGATTTCTCGAGTTTCCAGTTCTTTGTTTCAATTTTTCAATTTTCCGAATTTTCCAATTTTCGATGTTTCACTTTTTTGATTTCTCGATTTATCGAAGTTTTCATCGTTCAATTTCTTGATTCATCAATTTTTCAATTTTTAATTTTCCTTCTCGGCTTTCGACTCCTTAATTCTCGATCCTCTGATTTTTCGATTTTTGGATTTCTCGGTTTTTCGATTTTTTACTTTTGGGCTTTCCAATTATTTTTCGATGTTTTGATTTTTCAGCGATCCATAAAAAATTGGAATTTTTTTTTTATTTTTTGATATTTGTATTTCTTCATTTGTCAATTTTACGCTATTTTAATTTTTCAAATTTTGACATTACTGAATTTTCAGTTTTCCGGTTTCTCAATTAATCTATTTTTTATTCTCCAATTTCTCAACTTCCGAAAGTTTCCATTTTCAATTCTTCAGTTCTTCAATTTTTCGAATTTCCAGGTTTTTGATTTTTCCAATTTTCGATTTTTTTAGTTTGTGATTTTTCGACGTTTCGATTTCTTCTATTTTTCAATTTTTCAATATTTGAGTTTCGGGATTTTTTAGTATTTCGACTTTTTACTTCTTGGATTTTTAGTTTTTCGTTTTTAAAACTTTCCATTATTTTCCTACACTCTGTAACTTTCAAAAAAAAAAAATTATAATAATAAAAATAAAACATTTTTCGACTGTTTTATACTTCGATTTCTTAATTTTTCAACTTTTACATATTTTAGCTTTTCAATTATTTTTAAAATTTTAGTTTTTTCGATTTCCTGAGTCTTTAGTTCTATATTTCAATTTTTCACTTTTTACAATTTTTAAATTTTCGATTTTCCAATTTGTTTTTTAATTCTTCGCTTTTCCAATTCTTCGATGTTTCTAAATATAAATAGGCCAGAATCGAAAAATCGATAAGTTTAAAATGGAAAAATTGATAAATCGGGAGATTGACCAATCAAAACATCGAAACATTCGAATAAAAAAATTGAAAAATCGAAAATTTCAAAATTCGGAAAATTGAAAAATTAAACTATAGAAAAATTAAAAATTCGAGAAATCGAAAAATTTAGAATGTTAAAAAATCAAAATACCGACAATTCGAAAAATTGAGGAATCGAAATATAAAACAGTCGAAAAACTGAAAAAAGTAAAGTTTAAAAAACAGAAAACTGGCAATTCAAAAAATAAAAAATCGACAAATCCTAAAATTGAAAGAAATATTCAAAAATTGAGAAATTAAGAAATTGGAAAATTGAGAAATCGAAAAACCAAAAAGCAAAGTCGAAAAATCGAAAAATTGAATAACAGAAGAAAAATCGAAAAATTGAGAAGTCAAAAGTAGATTAATTGAGAAATCGGAAAACTCAAAAATTTAACAACGTCAAAATTTGAAAAATTGAAAAATAGAAATACTGAAGAACTGAAAAACCAAAAAAATCGAGAAATCGAAGCACCCAAATTTTAAAACATTGAACAATTAAAATATGCCAAAATTAAAAATTCTAGAAATCCAAACGTCAAAAAATCAAAAAATAAAAATTCGAAATTCTAAAATTTAAAAATCGAAAAAAAAAATTGAAAAAATAAAAAAACGGATCGCTGAAAAATCAAAACATCGAAAAATAATTGAAAAGGCCAAAAGTCAAAAATCGAGAAATCCAAAAATCGAAGCATGGAAAAATTAAAAAAAAACTGAGACATCAAGAAATCGAAAAATCAGAGGATCGAGAAATTAAAAATTGAAAAATTGATGAATCAAGAAATTGACGAATGAAAACATATAAACATCTGAATTCGATAAATCGAGAAATCAAAAAATTTAAAAATCGAAAATTGAAATTAAGAAGAACTGGAAACTCGAGAAATCGAAAAATTGAAAAATTAAAACATCGAAAATGTGAAAAATTGCGAAATCGAAGTATAAAATAGTCGAAAAATTGAAAAATCTTAAGTTTAACGAAAAATTGAAAATCCAAAAAGTAAAAAACGGAGAAATCAAAAAATCCAGGAGTCCAAAAATCGAAAAGTCGAAAAACTGCGACATCAAGAAATGGAAAAATCATAGGATCGAAAAATAAAAAATTGAAAAATTGATGAATCAAGAAATTGAACAATGAAAACATCGAAACATCTGAATTCGATAAATCGAGAAATCAATAAATTGAAAGATGGAAAATTGAAAAATTCTGAAAATTGAAAAATTGAAATAAAGAAGAACTGGAAACTTGGGAAATCGATAAATTGAAAAATTAAAACATCGAAAAGTTCAAAAATTGAGAAATCCATGTATACAATATTCGAAAAATTGAAAAATCTTAAGCTTAACGAAAAATTGAAAATCCAAAAAGTAAAAAACCGAGAAATCAAAAAATCTAGGAGTCCAAAAATCGAAGTAGAAAAATCGAAAAATTGAAAAATCCCAAAACTGGAAGAAATATCCAAAAAATTGAGAAATTAAAAAATTGGAAAATTGAGTAATCGAAAAACCAAAAACGCAAAGTCGAAAAACCGAAAAATTGAAGAACTGAAGAAAAATCGAAACATTGAAAAGTCGAGAAATGGGAAAGTCAAAAATAGATTAATTGAGAAATCGGAAAATTCAAAAATTTAGCAACGTCAAAATTTGAAAAATTGAAAAATAGAAACATCTAAAATTTAAAACATTGAACAATTAAAATATGCCAAAATTAAAAAATCGAGAAATCCAAACGTCGAAAAATCAAAAAATAAAAATTCGAAAATCAAAAATTTAAAAATCGAAAAAAAAATTTGAAAAATTGAAAAATAATTGAAAAGCCCAAAAGTAAAAAATCGAAAAACCGAGAAATCCAGAAATCGCAAACTTAAGAAATCGAGTAGTATTAAAAAATCAAAAACCTGAAAAATCGAAAAATTAAAAAAAAACTGAGACATCAAGAAATCGAAAAATCAGAGGGAAATTGAGGAGTCGAAAGCCGAGAAGAAAAATTAAAAATTGAAAAATTGACGAATCAAGAAATTGCACAACGAAAACATCGAAACATCTGAATTCGATAAATCGAGAACTCAAAAAATTGAAAAATTCAAATTTAGAAAAACTGAAAACTCAACAAATCGGAAAACCCAAAAATTTTAAAAATCGCAAACTTTAGAAATCGAGTAGTATTAAAAAATCAAAAACCTAAAAAATCGAAAAATTGAAGAACTGAAGAACTGAAAAATCAGAGCTTTGGGAAATCGAGAAATGGGAAAATAAAAAATAGATCAATTGAGAAATCGGAAATTTCACCTCAAAACTAAGGTATTTAATTTTATTTTACCTGAAACTTATGGCTATTTTCCAGAACCTCCAGTTCAAATAAGTTTTAGTACATATTTTTCAAAAATTTTATTTTCAAATAGAATTTTTCGAAAATGTTGTTCAAGGACCAACAACACTCTATATCAGCACATCGAGACGTACATGTCAGAATTTTTTGGGGATGTTTAGATAATACAGAGTGTAAATTGTTATGAATTTCGGAGTAATTATATTCCCTGACAGTTCTGAGACTTACCTGTCCCATGCGGTAATGGCAGTAACAGCTTATATTAGTATAAATGCTTAGGTGAAAACCTCAAGGCAGATTCATAAACGACACGTATAACCTTTTTGTGTGAGCGTCGATTTTCAAAAAAATTAATTTTCGCATTCAACCCAAGACAATCTAAATTAGCATCGCCCACATTGTACACACGAAACTCTGTTATTCGAAATAAACAAACCCATTCCCCTCGATTTTATGCCCTAATTAACTTTCCCACCGCGTGGACGCTAAGTCTTTATTAATGGTCTTTATTGTCCCAATATGAGCACGTTATTAATGACACTTGCCAAATGACACGATTGGTCAGCTGTTGATATAGATCGTTAGTCTAAATCTCACCGTAAATCATCCCTGAAACTGATTTATAACCAACCCGAGCACAGTTCTGCTCAAGACAAAAATCCGCGCTTGATTAATCTGCAATTTCTCGAATTCCAGGGGCCTTCCTCCTAACCTACTGCATCATGGTGCTCCTCATGGGCATGCCCATCTTCCTCCTCGAGCTCGTCGTGGGCCAGTATTCGGGGCTAGGCCCCGACCAGGCCTACAGCAACATCGCGCCGATTTTCACCGGCTTAGGATACTGCACTCTGGTGGTAATCACGCTGATTACTATTTATTACATGGTGATCATCGCCTGGACCCTCTTTTATTTCTTCGCTTCGTTCACCAGCGAATTGGGCTTCGGTTCTTGCCACAACGACTTTAATACAATGGGTGAGTGTAATGTGTGAGGGAAATTAAGTCCTTTGTGACTTTTGGTCGAATCGCTCCGGTTTTTCTCCTTTTATTGCTTTAGCCATTAGTCAAGATTATTGCGTTCGGGGTTATAAGCTCCCCTTTAGGCTAATTGTTTCCATTTTCGGCCATTTGTTTCTTTGCGTCGGGCACATTTGATTAGCCGAAAAAGAATAGCTTGGGGAAGTCGTTAATAACTGGGGAGGATCGGGCAATGTTTATATAAATAAATTTGGGGCTGTAACGCACTCCAGAGACGCTCATAAATACCACTCCTAGATGTATTGACACTACGGGTTTAAAGTCAACTTCAAATCAAGGAGTTATTAATTAATAGTGTAGGTTGTTTCAGTGCCACGGAAGACTCCAACTGCTCCCCCGACCAAACCTACTACAACAAACAGTGTACTCTTGTGGAGGAAATATGCAAAGACCACGGTTTCGTGGGTGCCTTAGACAAGAGGTTTTGCCTCACCAGCAACGGTACCACCGTCCACATTAACCAAGTGGTCAATCGTACTTTAGCCACTTATGAGTACTTCCGCGATTACGTCCTAGGTTTGGGGGATTCCACCTGGGAGGAGTTTGGAGGACTCAGATGGCAGCTCCTCCTCTGTCTCCTACTCGCATGGATCATCGGTTTTTTCTGTGTCATAAAAGGCGTCAAAACTTCCGGAAAAGCCGTCTACTTTACCGCTTTGTTCCCCTACGTGATTCTCACAGCTCTCGTGGTACAAGGAGCCATCCTTGAAGGTGCCGTCGACGGCATTCTCCTATACTTAACCCCCAGATGGGAAAAATTGCAAGAAGTAGACGTTTGGGCCAACGCAGCTTCGCAAACTTTCTACTCGTTTGGAATAGGTTGTGGCTCTTTAATAACCCTAGCTTCTTACAACGATTTCAAGAACAATTGTGTCAAAGACGCGCTTATTGTCACTGCTACTAATGTTTTTACGTCGATTTATGCTGGGTTTGCGATTTTCTCGATGTTGGGTTTTTTGGCGCACCAGATGGGGGTTCCAGTGGAAGAGGTGGCTCAAGACGGGCCTGGGTTAGCTTTCGTGGCGTACCCTGAAGCTATCTTACGACTACCGGCACCGACGGCATGGGCTGTAGCGTTTTTCTTCATGTTGTTTATTCTGGGTTTGGGTAGCCAGTTCGCGGGGATCGAAGCCATCAGGTGTCTCATTCTCGACAGGTGGCCGTACATGAGGAAGTACCAAATTTACGTAACACTTGTTATCTGTGTGTGCTGCTTCATCCTCGCCATTCCTATGTGTTTCGACGGAGGCGTCTATCTTTTCACCCTCATGGAATGGAACACGGCTTCATGGGCTATCCTCCTGATTGGAGTAGCAGAAGTGGGAGCCGTCTCTTGGTTCTATGGGTGCAACCGAATTTTAGACGACATGGCCAAAATGGACATGAAATTATCAAAACCGTCGCGGTGGTACTGGTGGGTTTGTTGGGTCATCATCACACCACTAACCCTTCTGGTAGCTAAACCCACCAATGCAAAAACCCACCTACTACACACTTAATTTGTAGGGAGTTTTTGTTTTCCAAATGGCGACATTCACAGCTGCATCGTACGAAAACTACGTTTTCCCATTATGGGCAGACTCGTTGGGTTGGATGATGGGGTTGTCCACCTTGGCACCATTCGTGATATTCGTGGTCATGGTGTTATGGAAACGAGAACACGTAAGTAGGCGGATCTACATAATTCGCACTAACGCGTTTTTGCAGACTGGTTGGAACCTGTTCCGACCGACTTCAAACTGGAAGGCACAAATCACAAAAACTGAAAGTAACCTCACACTAACAAAAGACCAAATAGGAGCATAGACTGACATGAACAACAAATCTAAGAAAAATATTTATTTTGTTCAATAAAAAACTCAATTTTTCTAGTTGATGAACGGTAATCTAAACCGTGGCGTGTTTATTTTAATCCCGAAAGGACTTTCTAAAAGTTTGCTGTAGGGTAGTGGAGAGTCGCTCTCAAGGTAGTAGGGTCCTGCAGCAGATCGTGGTACGTGCTCACCCATCACAACTTTCTTGTTACTATTGCACGCCAGAATGTGGTACTCGATTGAATTCGGACACGACAAAGCCTCAAACTTCTTACCGTTGATGGAATCTTGGAAGTACTCGACAGCTTTGAAGTGGCTGCAACCAACTAAACCAACAAGTTGTATATAACTCTCAAGCAACTTACTCGAGTCAAAAATATTGACGAGATTGAAACACCCAGGTTGCAGAGGTCCCCCATTCTCTACATAAAAATCAGCGGTACCGATGGCCTCACTCACCCCCAGGAACCCCGCATTCGTATGAATAACATCCACGAAATCAGCGTCGTCGGGACTCAACCTAGAATCCGCACTCCTCTTCCTCGGTACTTCAAACAACGGCGCAGCCACATCTAACCCCGTAATCCTCCCAATTTTTTTCCCGCTTTCTTGTAGCACCTTCTGGCCTGCGAAACCTGCCACATGACCACCCAAAGACACACCCAGCAGATGCATATTGTTCAAAAACTTCTCTTCTTTTCGGGTTAGTTCCAAAATGAAGTCTGCAAGGATGTTGCCGATGTCTTTGGTACTACTAGCCGAGTGCATGTAAACTTTCCTCGCGTGATCTGCCCAATCCACTGAGATCACGTTGTAGTTCCCGTGGTTGTGGTACCGTTGCGCTAGGTCGCCGTTGGACTCGTCGAAAGCGGAAGCCTGCCAGCCATGAATCACGAATTTGGTGGGTTTTGATGGGTCGAGGGTGAGCTTCTTGGGGTCGAGTTTAAGCGTTTTGTTGTCGGAGAGGTGCAAGATGAAGGCTATGTCGTCCGGGGAGACTTCGCGGAAGGTGAAGGTGTTGACGATGTTGTCGATTTCGTTGGAGGCGGCGTTGAAGAGCCAAGAGAGGAAGACGTCTGGGGGTGGTACCATTTGGGAACGAACTGAAATGGAATGGAGTATTATTAATGAGTACTACCTTGAATTTAACTTACCCGAAAAAATGATACACGTAGACACTATCAAACCGATAATATAACGGTTCATTTTAAGAGTAGAGAAACCTTCAAGTACTAAAGTCGAGTACTAATTGTTGTCGATGCATATTACGATCATGTGGTCTTATTAGAAATGTGTAAAAGTATGTTCCACTCACATCTTTTTGCATTGAACGAAGGTTATTACCTTCAAGGTTCACGCTTTTTAATTAAAAATGTCTGTCCAAGATCAAGGGATTATGAAAAGTAGGATATATATTGTAATGTCAGTTTCATTCGTTTTGCTTCATTGATAATGAAAATTAAATACCTATTGCTTTATACCATAAATGTTCAACGCAGTTTTCTCGACATTTCTCAATTTTATATCACAATTTTTGGTGTCTTTATTTCCTTTATTTTTTTGTTGTTTCTTTCGATTTACATTTTTTTTTAATTCAATTTTTCAAATTTTCAGGCTTTGATTTTTCAATTCCATGATTCTCCACGTTTGAAATTTTTCAATTTGGGGATTTTTGGATTTCCAGTTTTCCAATTTTTCAATTTCTTTAATTTTCAATGTTTTGATTTTACAATACAAATTTCTTTTTTTTTTATTTTTCACTTTTTCGAATTTCAAGTTTTTCAATTTTTAACCTTTCGATTTTTTAAATTTTCATGTTTCATTTCCACTTTTGACATTCTTCAAGTTTTCATTATATACTTTTTCGTTTTCATATTTTATTTTCTCGATTTATATCACAATTGTCAGTTTTTTCATTACCTTTATTTTCTGTTTTTTTTTGATTTTGCAATTTTTCAAATTTTCAGGCTTTGAATTTTCAGTTTATCCATTTTTCAATTTTTAAATTTTTCACTTTGTAGTTTATGAATTTTCAGTTTTCCGATTTTCCAATTTCTTTAATTTCCAATATTTCTATTTCATAAAACATATTTCTTTTTTTTCGATTTTTAAGATTTTTCAAGTTTTCATTTTGTAATTTTTCGTTTTTTATTTTTGATTTTTCGATTTTACAATTTCTCGACTTCCAAAATATTGAATTTTTCTTTCCTTCAATTTTTCGGTTTGCATCAGTTTTTCAATTTGTCAATTTTTCAATATTACAGTTTTTCATTTTCCGATTTTTCAGTTTCTCAATTTTTAATTTTTCCCTTTTCCAATTTTTTTGTTCCGATTTTTCTTTTTCTTTTCCCCGATTTTTTGATTTTCACTTTTTCAATTTTTCAACTCCCCGAATTTTATTTTGCGTTTTCCTGATTTTTTATTTTTCATTTTCTCGATTTTATATCACAATTTTTGGTTTCTTTATTTCCTTTATTTTTTTGTAGTTTCACTTTTTCAAATTTTCAGGCTTTGATTTTTCAATTCCATGATTTTCCACGTTTAAAATTTTTAAATTTGCAGTTTTTGGATTTCCACTCTTCCGATTTTTCAATTTCTTTAATTTTCAATATTTTGATATTACAGTACATATTTCTTTTTTTTATTTTTCACTTTTCCGAATTTCAAGTTTTTCAATTTTTAATCTTTCGATTTTTTAAATTTTCGTTTCTTCAAATTTTCATGTTTGATTTTCACTTTTGGCATTTTTGAAGTATTCATTATATACTTTTTCGTTTTTTTATTTTTGATTTTTCAATTTTACAGTTTCTTGACTTCTAAATTTTTCAATTTTTCGAGTTGCAATTTTTTAATTTTGCAATTTTTCGATATTACAGTTTCTCATTTTTCGATTTTTCACATTCTCAGTTTTTAATTTTTGTCATTTTCAATTTTTCGTTTCCTCAATTTTTCAAGTTGTCGATTTTTATTTTTCAATGTGACGAATTTTTAATTTTTATTTTCTCGATTTATATCACAATTGTCCGTTTTTTCATTTCTTTTATTTTCTGTGTTTTTTTTTCGATTATACAATTCTTTGTGTGTTCAATTTTTCAAATTTTCAGGCTTTGAATTTTCACTTCGTCCATTTTTCAATGTTTTAATTTTTCACATTGCAGTTTTTGATTTTCAGTTTTCCGATTTTCCAATTTTTGTAATTTTCAATATTTCTATTTCATAATACATATTTCTTTTTTTTTTATTTTTCACTTTTTCGATTCTTCAGATTTTTCAAGTTTTCATTTTGTAATTTTTCGTTTTTTATTTTTGATTTTTCAATTTTACAATTTCTCGACTTCCAAAATTTTCAATTTTTCGGTTTGCATCAGTTTTTTCAATTTGGCAATTTTTCAGTACATATTACAGTTTTTCATTTTTCGATTTTTCAGTTTCTCAATTTTTAATTTTTCCCTTCCCCAATTTTTTTGTTCCGATTTTTTTTTTATTTTCCCGATGGATTTTTTAATCTTCACTTTTTCGATTTTATATCATAATTTTTCGATTTTATAACACAATTTTTCGTTTTTTTCGTTTCCTTTATTTTTTTGTTGTTTCTTGCGATTTACAATTTTTTATTTATTCAATTTTTCAAATTTTCAGGCTTTGATTTTTCAGTTCCATGAGTTTCCACGTTTAAAATTTTTCAATTTGCAGTTTTTGAATTTCCAGTTTTCCAATTTTTCAATTTCTTTAATTTTCAATATTTTGATTTTATAATACATGTTTCTTTTTTTTCACTTTTTGGAATTTCAAGTTTTTCAATTTTTAATATTTCGATTTTTTGAATTTTCGTTTCTTCAAATTTTCATGTTTGATTTTCACTTTTGACATTTTTCAAGTTTTCATTGTATACTTTTTCGTTTTATATTTTTGATTTTTCAATTTTTCGAGTTGCAATTTTTTAATTTTGCAATTTTTCGATATTACAGTTTCTCATTTTTCGATTTTTCACGTTCTCAGTTTTTAATTTTTGTCATTTTCAATTTTTCGTTACCTCAATTTTTCAAGTTCTCGATTTTTATTTTTCATTTTCCCGATTTTTTCAATTTTCATTTTCTCGATTTTATGGCACAAATTTTCATTTTTTCAATTCCTTTATTCCTTGTTGTTTCTTTCGATTTTTCAATTTTTCGTTTCTTCAATTTTTCGAATTTTCAGTTTCCCAATTTTTTGTTTCCACAATTTTCCATGTTCCCGATTTTATTTTTCAGTGTGGCAAATTTTTAATTTTTATTTTCTCGATTTATATCACAATTGTCCGTTTTTACATTTCCTTTATTTTCTGTGTTTTTTTTTCGATTTTACAATTTTTCATGTGTTCAATTTTTCAAATTTTCAGGCTTTGAATTTTCAGTTCGTCCATTTTTCTATTTTTAAATTTATCACTTTGCAGTTTTTGGATTTTCAGTTTTTGGATTTTCCAATTTCTTTAATTTTCAATATTTCTATTTCATAATACATAAGTATTTCTTTTTTTTTTATTTTTCACCTTTTCGATTCTTAAGATTTTTCAAGTTTTCATTTAGTAATTTTTCGTTTTTAATTTTTCAATTTTACAATTTCTCGACTTCCAAAATTTTCAATTTTTCGTTCCTTCAATTTTTCGGTTTGCATCAGTTTTTCAATTTGGCAATTTTTTAATACATATTACAGTTTTTCATTTTTAGAATTTTCAGTTTCTCAATTTTTAATTTTTCCCTTTTCCAATTTTTTTGTTCCGATTTTTATATCACAATTTTTCTCTTTTATATCACAATTTTTCGTTTTACATTTCCTTTATTTTTTCTTGTTTCTTTCGATTTTATAATTTTTCGTTTTTTCAGTTTTTCAAATTTTCAGTTTTTTTTTCAATTTTTCTTAAAATTTTCAAGTTTGATTTTCACTTTTTACATTTCACAAGTTTTTATTAGACACTTTTTCGTTTTTTTATTTTTGATTTTTCAATTTTACAATTTGTCGATTTCCAAATTTTCCAATTTTTCAATATTACAATTTCTCATTTTTCCATTTTTCACATTTTCGATTTTTAATTTTTCCCTATTTCAATTTTTCTTCCCCTCAATTTTTCAACTCCCCGAATTTTATTTTGCGTTTTCCTGATTTTTTATTTTTATAATAATAATAATAATAATAATAATAATAATACATTTATTGAATCCAAAAAAAAAAAAAAGATCCAAAAGGAACAAAAACAGTTTAAAACTGATATAATTTTGCCCTAACAAGTAATCTAAATAATTTGTTTTTACAATACAAAGATATAAAGAATCCATTAAAATTATTTACATACATTAAAATAGTTTCAAGTTTTTCATTTTCTCGATTTTATATCACACTTTTTTGTTTTTTCATTTCCTTAATTTTTGTTGTTTCTTTCAATTTTCAAATTTTTCGTTTATTCAATTTTTCAAATTTTAAGGCCATTCGATTCCAATTCGTCGATTTTCCAATTTTAAAATTTTTCAGTTTGCAGTTTTTGGGTTTCCACCCCTTCTTTACTTTTTGGATTTTCAAGTTTTCGTAAAACTTTTTTGTTTTCATATTCTTTATTTTTCAATTTTACAGTTTCTTGACTTCTAAATTTTTCAATTTTTCGATATTACAGTTTGTCATTTTTCGATTCTTCACATTCTCAGTTTTTAATTTTTGTCATTTTCAATTTTTAGTTTCCTCAATTTTTCAAGTTCTCGATTGTTATTTTTCATTTTTCCGGTTTTTTTAATTTTCATTTTCTCGATTCTATGTCACAAATTTTCATTTTTTCAATTTCTTGTTTCCTTCGATTTTTCAATTTTTCGTTTCTTCAGTTTTTCGAATTTTCAGTTTCTCAATTTTTTTATGTTCCCGATTTTTATTTTTCAATGTGGCGAATTTTTAATTTTTATTTTCTCGATTTATATCACAATTGTCCCTTTTTTCATTTCTTTTATGTTCTGTTTTTTTTTTAAATTTTACAATTTTTCATGTGTTCAATTTTTCAAATTTTCAGGCTTTGAATTTTCAGTTCGTCCATTTTTCAATTTTTAAATTTTTCACTTTGCAGTTTTTGGATTTCCAGTCTTCCGATTTTCCAGTTTCTTTAATTTTCAATATTTCTATTTCATAATACATATTTCTTTTTTTTTCACTTTTTCGATTCTTAAGATTTTTCAAGATTTCATTTTGTAATTTTTCGTTTTTTATTTTTGATTTTTCAATTTTACAATTTCTCGACTTCCAAAATTTTCAATTTTTCATTCCTTCAATTTTTGGTTTACACCAGTTTTTCAATTTGACAATTTCTCCCTTTTCCAATTTTTTTGTTTCCGATTTTTATTTTTCATTTTACCGATTTTTTAATTTTCACTTTTTCGTAGCAGGTACTAGCCCCACCCACCCGCCTTTATTTTCTTATTAGAGAGTATGTCATGTGCCAAAATCACTTTTATCATAGCAAGTACTAACCACGCCCACCTGGGTTCTTCTCATTTTAACTACTAATTTTACTTCTGTTTAGTATAAGAGCCACCTTTCATTCAGAGTAGACAAAGAATCACTGAAATGAAGGTGGGTGGGTGGGTGGGGTTAGTTCTTGTTATTAAGTCGATTGAAAAAGCTGAACATAGCCCCGCCCACCTCCTTCCTCATTGACTAACTTATTTTATTTATTGTGAAATGGACATTGAATTATATTTTGACAAGCGGAAGAATCTAAGATTTAAAACAAAGTCAGAAGTGCTAGCCCCCTTATTTTTTTGTTGTTTCTTTCGATTTTACAATTTTTTGTTTACTCAATTTTTCAAATTTTCAGGTTTTGTTCAATTTTTCTTCAAATTTCCAAGTTTGATTTTCACTTTTTACATTTTTCAAGTTTTTATTATCCACTTTTTCGTTTTTTATTTTCGCTTTTTCAGTTTTTCGTCCCCTCAATTTTTCAAGTCCCCAAGTTTTATTTTGCGTTTTGCTGGTTTTTTATTTTCTCGATTTTATATCACAATTTTTTGTTTTTTCAATTCCTTAATTTTGGTTGTTTCTTTCAATTTTCCAATTTTTCATTTATTCAATTTTTCACATTTTAAGGCCAATCGATTTCAATTCGTCGATTTTCCAATTTTGAATTTTTTTTTGACGTTTCGACTGTTCGATTTTTAATTTTTTGGATTTTCAAATTTTCGTTTTTTAAACTTTAGATTTTTCAATTTTCGACTGTTTTATATATATTTCGATTTATGAATTTTTCGAGTTTTCAGTTCTTGTATATTTTAATTTTTCTTTTTTCCGAATTTTTAATTTTTCGATTTTTCAATTTTTTGAAAACTCGATTTATCGAGTGCAAGTCAGTGTCGACAAAAATGAAAAACAACATAAAAACGTTTATTACTATACAGGGGGTCCAAAAAATTTCGTTATAATGCCACGCTCATGGACAGTGATAACATTAACTACATAGATAACACAATAATAATAACTTATATATTTCAGGTACTTATTTAAATTAATGGCACAAGTACCACAAGACCAAAGCAGATGCACAAGCTATGAAGAAATTTCCTTGTGAATGTAAACCCGGAGCTGAATCCTTGGCCACCAAATAACTCCCTGAAGCATTTCTGGAAACGTGCTCGCCCATAAACTCAGAATGAGCCTTATCGCACATTCTTTGAACAGCGTCCGACATATCAAAATAGCAAGAAACTCCCTGGTACCTCTCCTTATCCTCAATAGTATTAATGTACAAGTCGTCTGCCAGCAGTTCTCCACAGGAATCTACAACACAAACTGTTTACCCAAAAAAAAAATTGGTACCATCGGGCGTACCCACCTTGTAAAGTACTATTGTCGCTCTCGTTTCCCTTTTTATAACAAATCGGTCGACCATTCCCATCCACAATATAAAAATCCGCAGTACCAATCTTCACAGCCCCCACATCCACCGTCGTATGTATAACATCAACAAACTCCGCATCGTCTTCGTTTAGAATCTCCAAATCTTTAGGTTCCGTGGGATCTAAACCCGTAATTCGCCCAACTTTCTCCCCTTTATTGATTACAGCTTTACCAGCGGCGCCCGCAACTTGGGCCCCCACGGACGACCCAATCAGATGCACGTCCGACAAGAACTCGACATTCGTTTGTGAGAACTGTACGATGAAAGTACCGATTTCGTTTCCTACAGAATCCACAGCAGAAACCACGTAGTCTTCGTCATGGGTGGACACCACAGACCAGTCGGTCGCGATTACGTTGTAGTTGCCATTGGTATGGTATACATAGGCCATTTTGTCGATCCATACATGGTCGCGGTAGCTACCAAGACCATGGATTATGAACTTCGTGGGCTGTGACGTGTTGACAAGACCCAGGTTGGTTGAGTTTAGCTCAATGGTGTCATTCGAGGGGGTGAGAAGGTAGAATTTCACGGAAGTAGCGACTCTAGATTGGGACGTAAAAGTACCGTTTTCGTCGGAACCATCTGAAGAGTCGTCGCAGATTTCGTACGACTCGTAGCCTTCCAGCTCGTCACAAGTACCTTGAATTTCAGGAAATAGTGACAAAAATCGTAGAGGGTGAGGTACTTACAGTACTGGGATAGACCCAAAAGCAGGAAGAAGTATATTGTTTTTGGTAACATGGTGCGTATTTTCGTGGTTCGTGCTTCGCAGTGACTCACTTTTAATATAATTTTTTAGTTTGCGACTGCTTTACATTTGGTTAAGTGTTACTCAAGTAATTAAAATATTTTAACGTTGGTAATGTACAGAGGCCTTGCTGTTATCGTCGGTGTTGTATCCAAATAGCCATTATTACTGTGGAAAATGATAAGCGAGACATATATTTTTAAATAATGACTTGGCCACATTGAAAACTGGTAAACATTCGCGATAAACAAAACTAAAACAGAGTTTTTAAAGATAAATAGTTGTGTTTTTTGTTCCTCATTGCTTTATTCTAGTGCAAAATATTTAAATGAGCACTCTAATTAAAGTGGAACAAGTTTTTTTTATTATTTCCTTTTCGCTGATCTAAATATGCACAATGTTTCTAATCTGCAACACTCGCCTTCGGCTCATGCAAAAACTAAAATCCGAAAAAAATTGGTCGAAATGATTTTAGTAAATGACTGAACAATATTAAGAATAATCATTGGAATGAAGAGGGGGTGGGTGGGCGGGGCTATTGCTTCCTTATAAAAGATTCTGTTGGAAAAAAGTTAGCCCCGCCCACTTACCCGTTCTCCCATTTTTTGTTCAAAAATAAGAAATAAATGTTATAGCGAAAAGTAGTATAAAAAAATTACGATTGACGCTTTTTTAACAGCCTATGTTTTATTAGTTCCCATTCTCACTACAAAAGAACATATAATTTACCCCGCCCTCCCACCCCGCCTCCATTTCAGTGATTCGTTTTGTCTAGTCCGAATTAAAGGTAACATATATTCTAAGAAAATTACTACTACTGCCTACCCACCGTTTACTTTCTTAGAGAAAAATGCAGACAAAAGTATAGAAAGACAAGCCAACTGACAGACAAGGTCATCGAAAGAAAGAAATAAGAAAACTGACAGAAGACAGAAAGACAAAAGACAACAGATAGTAGAAAAGGCCAAATTACAAAAAAAATACAGAAGCATACAAAGAAGGCCAAGATGGAAGAAAATTGGACAACGGACAATATAAGGGACAGAAATACGCTATGAGAACATATAAAGAAATAGCAATAGGCAGAGAATGCTCAATAAACAACAGAAGTACAAAAACACACAAGCGAAGGTGATAGAAGGAAAATAGATAAAATAAACAAAGCCGGCAGGAGGACAAAAAAGATAGGTCACAAGGACAGAAGAGACACAAAAAGACAGGTCGAAGGATAGAACTCCAAAAATGGGAAAAACAGAAAAAAAGGACAAACAGGCAAAAACGACAAAAAACAAACTGCAGGGGAGACAGAAGTATAAATAGACAAAATAGACAAAGGCGACAAGACAAAAAGACGGCAAAAAGAAAGAAAGAAAGAAGGCAAATAGACAACATGGGGAAAAGAACATAGCAAAATACAGAGAGATGGAAAAATTGAAGACTCACATCAGGACATAAAAACAAACAGATCGAGAGCATAGACGAGAATACAAACAAGAGGATAAGAGAACAAAGCAGAAGGACAGAAAAAAAGAAAGCGCAAACAGTCAAAATGGCAGATAGAATGGTTAAAAAGAAAATGAAAAGACGAAGCGGGAGAAATGATGATGGAAAAGGAGAAAAAAATACGGGAGGTCATAAACAAAGGCGGAAAAAGAACAAAAAAGTAGAAAGCTACATAAAACGATAAAAATAAACAATAGAAAACTTGACATGATAACAAAAAAAAAGAAAGAGAGAAAACAGAATGAAAGACCGGTAGAAGAATAGAAAAAGAGAAAGGTATATACACCGAAGTATAGAGAAAATCAACAAGAAAAGAGAAAAGTCAAAAATCAAATAAGCATCGAAACAAAGAAGAGATAAATAAACCGAAAGAAAGACAGATAGACGCAGGGAAAGAATTGAAAGTAGAGAATGAAGGTCAGATATACAAAATGAAATACAGAAAAAAGGAGTGAAAGATAGAAACAAGAGAATGACAAAAACAAAAAATTGATCGAAAGCTATTTCGACAAAACTTCCCTCGCACCCTGTACAGTAAAATATGTCCAGCATTTTTTGGTTGAGTTTTAACAGAATTTTGTGATGACGTCATCAATATTTTTTCAAGGACACGTATATCAACTTGGATTGGTGCAGTGTAATGCTAAAAATAACAGTATTGTATTCCCAAAATTTCCTGGGAAAATGGAGTGAGCCGTTCCTGAGTTAATCAATAAAATAAATTGACACATTCATTAATTTTTTTTGAGCCACCTGTATAAATAAATTTAAAAAATATGAATACAATGATAAATCACAAGTAAAAACTCATACAATTCGGCACATTTCGGGTAGATTTAGGAATTTAACTCCTTATTATGGAAATTTGCAATTTAACACTTTTAGATTTCACAAGTTTTTACAAGGTTAATAGGGCCAAAATCAGTTTTGCCTTAACAAATACTAGCCCCGCCCACCCGCCCCCTGTTTTCTCAGAGGATATGTCATTTGTCAAAATCAGTTTTTTCTTACAAAGTACTAGCCCCGCCCACCCGCCCTCTCTTTTCTTACAGGATATGTCATTTGCCAAAATCAGTTTTATCTTAGCAGCTATTAGCTAGGATAAGACTGATTTTAACAAATGACATATCTTCTAAGAAAAGAGAGGGTGGGTGGGCGGGGCTAGTATCTGCTAAGATAAGACTGATTTTGGCAGATCACATACCCTCTAAGAAAAGAGAGGGTGGGTGGGTGGGTGGGGCAAATAACTGCTAAGATAAGACTGATTTTGGCTAATGAGATATCTTCGAAGAAAAGAGGATGGGTGGGCGGGGCTAGTAGCTGCTAAAATCAGTTTGTGATGTTTATTGTCCTAAAAAAATAAAAAATAGAAATACTGAAAAACTGAAAAATCAAAAAATCGAAAAATCTGAAATTTAAAACATCGAACAATTAAAATGTCGCAAAATTGAAAAATCGAGAAATCCAAATATCAAAAAATAAAAATTCGAAAATCTAAAATTTAAAAATAGCAGAACTAAAAATCGACAAATCGAGAAATCGAAACCCTAGAATTTAAAAAATTGAAAAATTGGATAACTGACAAATTGAAACATGGAAAAGTTGGAAAATCGAAAAATTTTAAAAAAGAGAAATTAGAAAATCGAAAATTTAAAAATTCGGAAAACTGAAAATATGAAATAAAGTACTGAAAACTTGAGAAATCGAAACACTTAGAATTTGAGAAGTTGAAAAATCGAAGTATAAAACAATCGAAAAACTGAAAAATCTAAGGTTTAAAAAATGAAAAACTGAAAATCCAAATCTTAAAAAATCGAGAAATCGAAAAATCCAGAAGTCGAAAAATTGTAAGGTCGAAGAATGAAAATACGTATGGAAAAATTTCAAAACTGAAAGAAATATCCAAAAATTGAGAAATCAAAAAATTGGAGAACTGAGGAATCGAAAAACTAAAAAGCAAAGTCGAAAAAGGACAGATAGACGCAGGGAAAGAATTGAAAATAGAGAATGAAGGTCAGATATACAAAATGAAATACAGAAAAAAGGAGTGAAAGACAGAAACAAGAGAATGACAAAAACAAAAAATTAATGGAAAGCTATTTCTACAGAACTTCCCTCGCACCTAAAGGACAGTGAAATCCAGCATTTTTTAGTTGAGTTTTAACAGAATTTTGTGATGACGTCATCAATATTTTTTCAAGGACACGTATGTCAACTTGGATTGGTGCAGTGTAATACTAAAAATAACAGTATTGTATTCCCAAAAATTTCTGGGAAAATGGAGTACGCCGTTCCTGATTTAATCAATAAAATAAATTGACACATTCATTAATTTTTTTTGAGCCACCTGTATAAGTAAATCTAAAAAATATGAATGCAATGATAAATCACAAGTAAAGACTCGTCATATTTTGCACATTTCGGGTAGATTTAGGAATGTAACTCGTTACTATGGAAATTTGCAAATTAACACCTTCAAAAGTTCACAAGTTTTTACAAGATTAATAGGAGCAAAATCAGTTTTACCTTAACAAATACTAGCCCCGCCCACCCGGCCCCTGTTTTCTCAGAAGATATGTCATTTGTCAAAATCAGTTTTTTCTTACCAAGTACTAGCCCCGCCCACCCGCCCTCTCTTTTCTTAGAGGATCTGTCATTTGCCAAAATCAGTTTTATCTTAGCAGCTATTAGCTAGGATAAGACTGATTTTGGCAAATGACATATCTTCTAAGAAAAGAGAGGGTGGGTGGGCGGGGCTAGTATCTACTAAGATAAGACTGATTTTGGCTAATGAGATATTTTCGAAGAAAAGAGGATGGGTGGGCGGGGCTAGTAGCTGCTAAAATCAGTTTGTGATGTTTATTGTCCTAAAAAAATAAAAAATAGAAATACTGAAAAACTGAAAAATCAATAAATCGAAAAATCTAAAATTTAAAACATTGAACAATTAAAATGTCACAAAATTGAAAAATCGAGAAATCCAAATATCAAAAAACAAAAATTCGAAAATCTAAAATTTAAAAATAGCAGAACTGAAAAATCGACAAATCGAGAAATCGAAACCCTAGAATTTAAAAAATTGAAAAATTAGGTAACTGAAAAATTGAAACATCGAAAAGTTGGAAAATCGAAAAATTTTAAAAAAGAGAAATTAGAAAATCGTAAATTTAAAAATTCGGAAAACTGAAAATATGAAATAAAGTACTGAAAACTTGAGAAATCGAAACACTTAGAATTTGAGAAGTTGAAAAATTGAAAAATCGAAGTATAAAACAATCGAAAAACGGAAAAATCTAAGGTTTAAAAAATGAAAAACTGAAAATCCAAAACATAAAAAATCGAGAAATCGAAAAATCCAGAAGTCGAAAAATTGTAAGGTCGAAGAATGAAAATACGTATGGAAAAATTCCAAAACTGAAAGAAATATCCAAAAATTGAGAAATCAAAAAATTGGAGAACTGAGGAATCGAAAAACTAAAAAGCAAAGTCGAAAAAGGACAGATAGACGCAGGGAAAGAATTGAAAATAGACAATGAAGGTCAGATATACAAAATAAAATACAGAAAAAAGGAGTGAAAGATAGAAACAAGAGAATGACAAAAACAAAAAATTGATGGAAATCCAGCATTTTTTAGTTGAGTTTTAACAGAATTTTGTGATGACGTCATCAATATTTTTTCAAGGACACGTATATCAACTTGGATTGGTGCAGGGTAATACTAAAAACAACAGTATTGTATTCCCAAAAATTTCTGGGAAAATGGAGTGAGCCGTTCCTGATTTAATCAATAAAATAAATTGACACATTCATTTTTTTTTGAGCCACCTGTATAAGTAAACCTAAAAAATATGAATGCAGTGATAAATCACAAGTAAAGACTCATCATATTTTGCATATTTCCGGTAGATTTAGGAATTTAACTCGTTACTATGGAAATTTGAAATTTAACACCTTTAAATTTCACAAGTATTTACAACATTAATAATAGGGGCAAATCAGTTTTGCCTTAACAAATGCTAGCCCCGCCCACCCGCCCCCTATTTTCTCAGAGAATATGTGATTTGTCAAAATCAGTCTTTACAATTTTGAAGTGACGTTATCACATTATTGGTGGGGATGATTAGGCAAATTTTGGTGATGATATAAATACAAATAATACTTTCGGAAACTATCTGTCTAATAAAAATCCGGGATGGCAGATAGACAGACGGAAACGGGGGACCTATTTATTCGTGCTGTAGGGGCTGAAAACGTACCAAAAATTTACTACGTACTCAAGACAGTTGAAGGACCTCGTTATTATCAGTTAATTCAACACAACGGTCACGACGTCACCCGGAAACCCCATCGCTTTATCTTCTTATACTCAATTTTTTGGGATAACAATGTGAAAAACAAATCTACAAGAAATCTCAGTAATATTTTTTTTCGTATTTGGTATGTATTTAAATTTTTGAATGACTTATTTTAAGAAGAAGAATATTTTTATGAAAATATCTGAGAATATACTAACAATTATTAACTGAAAAGCCACAATAAAAGGCGTTGAAAATGTTAAAAACCATCCACATAAATTGTTGTGATCTTTTTTTTGTATCTCTATAGACTATTGACGAGAAGGGAAACTAAGAATATCTCAAAAATCGTAAATAACTTTTTAAAAATGTATACAAACATTAATACAAAGTAAAGTAGCCACTTATTAGCAACACTCGGTATTGTTTAAATTTTACGCGAATTGCAAAAGCGCTATCTACCTATCACGTTTGCTCATTGAGTATAACTGTCAAAGCAGGTTATGTTTACAGGAAAAAAAATATTTTGGCATAAATAGAAACCCAATTTAGGTCTACTTAATGCAAAATATATTGCGATCAGTAATTAACATTCCAGCGTCAGGTAATCACAGCTTAAAACCGACCAAACTTAAATCGGTAATTTTTAGGTTATGTTGGTGTATTTCCGCTACACAAATCCATGATGTCGCAGTTCGTAGCGCCCGTCGAAGCCTCAATCCGCCAAAAACTAACCTCCCAACTACAAACCACCCACTTGGAAATAATCAACGAATCATACATGCACAATGTGCCCAAAAATTCAGAAACCCATTTCAAAGTAGTCGTCGTTTCAAATAAATTTGCAGATCTCCCTTTAATCAAAGTAAGTAAAACTCGCCTAGTGTTTAAAAATTAACGTTTGCGACGCAGAGACACAGGTTAGTCAATGACATTTTGAAACAAGAGCTCAACAGCGGCGTCCACGCGCTTTCCATCATTGCTAAAACTCCAGATCAGTGGAACAGTAGTGAACAAACAGAACCTAGTCCTAACTGCAGGGGCGGATTCGGTAAATAACAACACATCACGTCTGTATCAATTTTTTTAAGATTACAGTAGTACACTTAATAATAAAAATACAAAACGTAATAAAACCAACAAAAAATGTTCATTACTGTCACAATACAAAGCTATCTAAACGTAATTTTCCTTCATTTTCTGTCAAATAGAGAACGTCTGCTAGAGTTTGCTCACAAATGGCTTCTTCCGCTTTTTGATGCATCTGAAATCAATTGTTACTATGTTGGTGTGTGGTTGTGGTGACTTACCCCTTTGTAGGCGTACCCTGCCGCAGGGGGGTACTTAAAATTGGGCCCAAAATTCACGGAAACTGTGGCGCTTTTGTGGATGGACACCGTGGGATAGTACGTCCCTTGGTAAACGTTCTCAAACGCGACCCCCTGGCATTCCCCGTTTTTAAAAAACAGGACTTTACTCCTTGGAAGCTCTTTCAGTGATTTCAAACGTTCTGGGACGTTGTCTTTGTCCTCGTAGTAAAGGTGGCTTTTGAATTTTACTAAGGGCTGCAATCATTTATTATTATTATTATTATTTTAGTGATAATAACAGCCTTACTCTGTCTTTATAAGTGTTAGGAACTAACTTAGTTGTACTATTTTGGGGTAGACTTATCATAAAACCTAAAGTATCTCCTTCTCCATAACCTGAACCGTAGTGTTTACCAGCGGATTCGTGGAACCGCGTACCTTTGCGAGATCTCCACGAATAACCGAATTTATCGTAACCTAAGGGGGCTTGCAAGTTGGCGTAGTCTTGGCCCCAACCCATTCTGGTGGCGGCACCTTCAGGCATTTCTTCGATCGTGGCCTCCCAGTACCAGGTTCCCTTTGTTACGCCTGAGAGCAAAATGTGGTATAAAAAAATTTGTTTGATCCACAGACCAGAGCGCGCTCAGGCCAATGTCGACTCTAAGCGTTCAGACGCGATTTGGTTGGTTTGGACTATAGTTTCTGCGGGAAATAGTTGTTTGGTCGGTTTTTATAACGACTAAACAACTAAGTCGAAAAATCGAAAAATAGAGAAATCGACAAACAAAAAGTTAAAACTTGAAAAATTGGAAAAGCGGAAAAATCAAAAAACGAAAAAATGGAAAACTGGAAAATCTGAGAAACCGAAATAGGCCAAAATAAAAAATTGAAAAACTGATAAATCGAAAACCTGAACAATCAAATCTCGATAAATCGGGAATGAAAAATTAACAAATCGAAAAACTGAAAAACAGAACATCTAAAACCAGGCAGTCGAAAAATCGAAAGATTAAGAAATATTGAAAAATTAAAATATCGAAAGATTGAAAAATATAAATTTAAAAATCCAAAAATTGAAAAATCGAAAAAGTAAAAAGGTACACACATCGAAAAATCCAGAAGTCAACAATAGAAAAGCCGAAGAATTGAAATGTTGAAAAATCATAAAACTGAAAAATCAAAAAATCGAAAGTGAAGTCGAAAATAGAAATCTTAAAAAATCGAAAAATTGAAAAGTCAGAAACCTGAAAAATCAAAAAATTAAAGAACTGAAGAACTGAACTGAATCCAGTCTTTAGATTTTTCAATTTTTTTATATTTTACAATTTCAATTAATGTATTTGTCGCTTTTCCATTTTTCTGTTCGATTCGATTTCTCGACTTTACGATTTTCGATTTTTGAGTTTCTCGATCTTTCGCGTTTTTTATTCTTCTTTTGAATTTTTCGCTTTCTCGATTTTTGAAATATTTCAATTTTCTATACAATTTCTTGATTTTTCAAATTTTCAATTTTTCGCCTTTCGATTTTGCAGTTTCTCGGTTTTTCTTTCAATTTTTGTATTTTTCCGCTTTTTGATTTTTCGTTTTCTCAAAATTTTGTGTTTTCCATTTTTGGATTTTTCAATATTTGGATATTCCAATGTCGCGATAAGAAAAATCGAAAAATCGAATTTGAAAAATGATTTTTCAATTTTTAGATAATTCAATTTCCCGATTTTTCTATTTTTCGACTTTTCAAGTTTGGATCTTTTAATTTTTCAGTATTTCGATTTTTCGAATTTTTCAGTTCCTTGATTTTTTCGGTTTATCAATTTCTCGCTCTTTCGAAGTTTCGATTTGAAGTTTTGATTTGTCGATTTCACGTTTTTCCTTATATTTCGACTCTTCAACTTTTCGAAATTTCGATTTTTTACATCTTCGATTTTTTACCTCTCCGATTTTTCAACTTTTTGAGTTTTCGACTTTTCGATTTAGATTATTCGATATTTCATTTTATATCATCTCGATTTTTGATTTTTCTATTTTGCAACTCATCGATTATCCGACTTTTTGATCTTATTTTTTCGAATTTTCGATGTTTCGACTCAAATTTTCGATCTTTCAATTTTTGTATCCTTGTATTTTTCAAGACTTCGACGTCTCGTTTTTCGATTATCTCATTTTTCGTATTTTCAATTTTTTAACTTCAAGAGTTGGGTTTTCGGATTTTCATATTTTGTGAATTTTTAGACTTTTGGAATTATGGAAATTTTAAATTTTGGAATCTTGGAATCCTGGAAGCTGGCAATCTGGGAATTTTGTAATTTAGGAATCTCGGAATCTCGAAATTTCGCAATCTCGTAATTTTGGAATTTTGGAGTTTTGGAATTTTAAAATCTTTGAAATTTTGAAAATATAGATTGCTGTATTTCTGAATTTTTGGGTTTCTGGGTTCTTGGATTTTTGGGTTTCTGGATGTTTTTATTTCTGGATATTTTGTTTTTTTTTTAATTTTCGGATTTTAGATTCTATGAACTTTTGAATTTTTTTGAAGTTCCGATGTCGACGTTTTTTGATTTTTCGACTTTGTAACTTCTGGTTTGCTGGATTTTCTAATTTTTTGGTAGCAGATTTGAAAAGTATTATATTTATATTTCAATTTTGTCATTTCGATTTTTGATTTTTTCTATTTTTCAATTCATCGATTTTCCTACTTTTTACAATTTTTCGCATTTTCAATTTTTGGCTTTTTGTGTTTTTTTAAATTTGGACGTCTGGTTATTCGATTTTTCCATTTTTTTATTTTCAAATTCTCAATTTCCCGATTTTTCGAATTTTCAATTTTTTAGCTTCCGTACTTGAGTTTTTGGATTTTTGAATATTTGGATTTTTGGATTCTTGAATTTTTGGTATTTGGATTTCTGAATTTTTGGGTTTATGGATCTTTGGATTTTCTGATTTTCGAATTTTCGGATTTTCGTATTTTGTGAATTTTGAGAATATCGGAATTTTGAAATCTTGGAATCTTGAAATCTTGCAATCTGGCAGTCTTGGAATTCGGGAATTTTGGTGTTTTGGAGTTCGAAACACTCGAAGGTCAAAAAATGGGAAAATCAAAACGTCGATTAATTAAAAAATCGACAAACTGAGAGTTTATGAAAGTCAAATTTGAAAAATTAAAAAATCGAAAATTTGACAAAATGACAATTGAAAAACAGAAAATCTAAAACCGGGAAGTCGAAAAATCGAAAGATTAAGAAATCGAAACATTTGAAAAATTCGAAAACTTGAAAAATTCAAATATCGAAGAACTGAACTGATAAATCGACAAATCGAAAAATCTAAAATTTAAAAAATTAAAAAATCTAAAATTTAAAAATCGAAAAATTGAAAGATCGAAAAAGTAAAATAATCAACACATCGAAAAATCCAGGAGTTAAAAATCGAAAAGTCGAAGAATCGAAATATTGAAAAATCCCAAAACTGAGATATCCAAAAACTAAAAAATGGAAAACCTGAAAAATCCGAAAACTGAAATATCCAAAAACTGAGAACCTAAAAGGTCGAAAAATTAAGCAATCGAAAAATCCAAAAAGTGAAGACGGAAAATCGAAACCTTAAAAAAACAAAAAAATGAAAAATTGAAAAATTAAAGAATTAAAGAACAGGAATATCAAAACCCTCGAAAGTCAAGAAATGAGAAAATCAAAACACCGATTAAGTGAGATATCGAAAAATTGACAGTTTAAATGTCAAATTTGAAAAACTGGAAAATCTAAAAACCGAGAAATCGAAAAATCAAAAGATCAAGAAATCGTGGAGTCGAAAAGTTGAACAATTAAGAAACCGAAATAGGCCAAAATCGAAAAGTTAAAAATTGAACAATTTATAAATTGAGAAATTGTCAATCAAAATATGGAAAAATCCAAATCTCGATAAATCGAGAAATCAAAAATATTAAAAATTCGAAAAATTGAAAAATTGAGAGATTGAAAGATCAAGAGAACGAGAAATCGAAAATTGATGAAGTCGAAAAATCGAAAAATAGAGAAATCAACAAACAAAAAGTTAAAAGTTGAAAAATTGGAAAAGCGGAAAAATCAGAAAACGAAAAACTGGAAAACTAGAAAAATTGAGAAACCGAAATAGGCTAAAATAAAAAATTGAAAAACTGATAAATCGAAAACCCGAAGAATCAAATCTCGATAAACCGAGAATGAAAAATTAACAAATCGAAAAATTGAAAAACAGAACTTCTAAAACCACGAAGTCGAAAAATCGAAAGATTAAGAAATATTGAAAAATTAAAATTTCAAAAAATTGAAAAATCTAAAATTTAAAAATCCAAAAATTGAAAAATCGACAAAGTAAAAAGGTAGACACATCGAAAAATCCAGAAGTCAAAAATAGAAAATCCGAAGAATTGAAATATTTAAAAATCTGGGAATTTTGGAATTTAGGAATTTTAAAATCTTGTGAAATTTTGAAATTATAGATTGCTGTATCCCAAATTTTTGGGTTTCTGGGTTCTTGGATTTTTGGGTTTCTGGATGTTTTTATTTCTGGATATTTTGTTTTTTTTTAATTTTCGGATTTTACATTCTGTGAACTTTTGAATTTTTTTGAAGTTTCGATGTCGACGTTTTTTGATTTTTCGACTTTGTAACTTCTGGTTTGCTGGATTTTCTAATTTTTTGGTAGCAGATTTGAAAAATATTATATTTATATTTCAATTTTGTCATTTTGATTTTTGATTTTTTCTATTTTTCAATTCATCGATTTTCCTACTTTTTAATATATTTTTTTCGAATTTTCAATTTTTCGCATTTTCAATTTTTGGCTTTTTGTGTTTTTTAAAATTTGGACGTCTGGTTATTCGATTTTTCCATTTTTTTTATTTTCAATTTCTCAATTTCACGATTTTTCGAATTTTCAATTTTTTAACTTCCGTACTTGGGTTTTTGGATTTTTGAATTTTTGGATTTCTGGATATTTTTGGATTTTTGGATTCTTGAATTTTTGGTATTTGATTTCTGAATTTTTGGATCTTTCGATTTTCGAATTTTCGGATTTTCGTATTTTGTGAATTTTTAGAATATCGGAATCTTGAAATTTTGGAAATTTGAAATTTTGGAATCTTGCAATCTGGCAATGTTGGAATTTTGGAATTTCGGAATCTCTGAAACTCGTAATCCCGTAATTTTGGAATTTTGGTGTTTTGGAGTTCGAAACACTCGAAGGGCAAGAAATGGGAAAATCAAAACGTCGATTAATTGAAAAATCGAAAAATTGAGAGTTTATGAAAGTCAAATTTGAAAAATTAAAAAATCAAAAATTTGACAAAATGACAATTGGAAAACAGAAAATCTAAAACCAGTAAGTCGAAAAATCGAAAGACTAAGAAATCGAAACATTTGAAAAATTCGAAAACTTGAAAAATTCAAATATCAAAAAACTGAACTGAAAAAGCGAGAAATCGAAAAATCTAAAATTTTAAAAATTAAATATCTAAAATTTAAAAATCGAAAAATTGAAAAATCGAAAAAGTAAAATAATCAACACATCGAAAAATCCAGGAGTCAAAAATCGAAAAGTCGAAAAATCGAAATATTGAAAAATCCCAAAACTGAAAAATGAAAGAAAAACTGAAAAATGGAAAACCTGAAAAATCCGAAAACTCTAATATCCAAAAAATGAGAACCTACAAAGTCGAAAAATTGAGCAATCGAAAAATCCAAAAAGTGAAGTTGAAAAATCGAAACCTTAAAAAAACTAAAAAATGAAAAATCGAAAAATTAAAGAATTGAAGCACAGGAATATCGAAACCCTCGAAAGTCAAGAAATAGGAAAATCAAAACATCGATTAATTGAAAAATCGAAAAATTGACAGTTTAAATGTCAAATTTGAAAAATTGAAAAGTCGAAAATTTGAAAAAACCACAATTGAAAAACAGAAAATCTAAAACCGGGAAGTCGAAACATAGATTGACTAAGAAATCAAAACATTTGAAAAATTCGAAAACATTGAATAACGGAAATATCGAAGAACTGAAATGAAAAATCGAAAAATCTAAAATTTTAAATATTGAAAAATTAAAATACCAAAAAATTGAGAAATCTAAAATTTAAAAATTGAAAAAGTAAAAAGTCGACACATCGAAAAGTCCAGAAGTCAAAAATGGAAAAGTCGAAGAACAGAAATATTGAAAAATCCCAAAACTGAAATATCGAAAAACTAAAAATGAAAGAAAAACTGAAAAATCCCAAAACTGAAATATCCAAAAACTGAAATGTAAAAATTTCAAAATTGAAAAACCCGAAAAATCAAAATTTCGAAAAATTGAAAATTTAGAACATCGATAAACCGAAACATCAAAAAAGAGAAAAATCTAAAATTTAGAAAATTGAAAAAGTAAAAAATTGAAGAATCGAAATATTGAAAAATTGAAAAAATAGACAACTAAAAATCGAAAAATTGCAAAAACTATAAAACAGAAATCGAGAAATCGAAATACCTAAAAGTCGAAAAACAGAGAAATTGAAAAATAGAAAAATCAAAGAATTGAAAAAGAGGGAAATGGAAGTTGAAAAATCGTCAAATCGAAAATTTACAGAATTTAAAAATTGAAAAACTGAAAAATCGAGAAATCAAAAAGTGGAAAAATAGAAAAACCAATTAATCGAGAAATTTTAAAATTAAAACTTTAGAAACGCCAAAAATAGAAAAATTGAAAAATTCGCATATTAAAAAATCGAAAATTTAAAAAACAGAAAAATCGGAAAATTGAAGAATTGAAAAACTGAAAAATCGAGAAATCAAGAAGTCAAAAAATCGAAAAATAAATTAATTGAGAAATCTAAAAATTAAAACTTTAAGAACCCGAAAAATTGAAAAATTGAAAAACTGAAAAATCTGAGGAATCTAAAAATCTAAAATTTAAAAAGTAAAAAATCGAAAAGTTGAAAAATTGAAGATTCGAAAAATCGGAAAACTGAAATATCGGAAAATTAGAAAACCTAGAAATCGAAAACCGAAAATTTGAAAAATGAACAAATAGAAACCTGAAAATCGAAAAATTGCAAAACCTGAAAAACAGAAATCGAGAAATCGAAAAACCGAGAAATTGAAACATCGATTGATCGAGAAATCGAAATATAGAAGTGCCAAAAATTCAAAAATAGAAAAATTGAAGAATTGAAAAAGGGAGGGAATTGAAAAATTGAAAAATCGACGAATCGAAAAATGGAGTCATCGGAAAATCAAAAAATTTAAAAATCGAAAAATTGAAGAAACGACAATTGAAAAACAGAAAATCTAAAACCGGGAAGTCGAAAAATCGTAACATTTGCAAAATTGAAATATGGAAGAGCTTAAATGAAAAGTCGAGAAATCGAAAAACCTAAAACTTTAAATATTGAGAAATTAAAATACCAAAAAATTGAGAAATCTAAAATTTAAAAATTGAAAAAGTAAAAAGTCGACACATCGAAAAATCCAGAAGTCAAAAATGGAAAAGTCCAAGAACAGAAATATTGAAAAATCCCAAAACTGAAACATCCAAAAATTGATAATCTAAAGAATCGAAAAATACCAAAACTGAAATGTCCAAAAACTGAGCAATTAAAAAATTGAAAAACTGAGAAATCGAAAAATCAAAAAAGTGAAGTTGACAAATCGAAACCTAAAAAAATAGAAAAATTGAAAAAGCAAAAAACCTGAAAAATCGAAATATTTAAAAATCGTAAAATTGAAGAGAAAAACTAAAAACCGAGAAATTGAAAAATTGTAAAATCCGAAAATTGAATAATAAATAGGAGTAAACTGAAAAGTCCCCAAACTAAACTTTCGAAAAACTGAGAATTCGAAAGTTGAAACAGCAAGAAATTATGGTCGAAACCGTTTTTTCTATTGTAGTTAATTTTATTCCTAGTTAGAAACAAACACTGTTGCCAACGTAAGTCGTGGAGTCCTCAACCGTGGCGCCATCTAGACAACCCCACCGCGCGCTTAATTTAAATTTTCCCCAAATAATTTTCTAAAAACTGCCATTACCATGGGTCGCCCTGACCGTCGAATACCCCTTCTCCCCCGTCGCGGCCAGCCGATCCTCCGAGATCTTCAACTGGGGGGCCCTGTCGTGCAGCGCCAGGAGCACCGTACTGGGTATGAGCGTCCGGTACAGCCACCCAGGGATGGGCTTGCCCGCCCAGTCGGAACTCTCGTCGAATTCCTGTCTATACGGGGCGTGTGGATCGGGTTCTGCCAGCAAATATCTATACCCATCTTTGTTAAAAGGATGATCCAGGGGGTACCCGTGCGCTGGTAGTTTGGGCGCGCCCAAATCCACCCCACGGCCCTTCTTCCCGACGCCGCCCACATCTCCCGGGAATTTCCTCTTGGCGTTCCTCGATTTCACCCCACCAGCAACTGGAACTGCCATCACAAACCGTCAAATCATTATCTAATCTTATCAGAAGAAACTTACAAGGTCGCAGCCCTATCACTTTAATCCTCGCCATTTATCAAGTCGGGAATAAAAACAAATCATTAATAACAAATACCTGGGAGGGGTTGGGGGCTGGAGGAGGTGGTTAGAGCGTCAAGAGAGGTACTGGGATTACTTAAACAAAACGAGTTTGAGGTTAGGTTTCACAGCCTCCTTACCATGTTGGATACCCATATCAGTGACTTTGAGAGTGCCTCCTTTGATCATGGCCTCATAGTTGGGTCTGATGTGAGTCAAATCCGTATTGACCAACCCGTACATTTGCCCATTGATGGGGTTCTCCTCGAACACGAACAATACGTGGATGTCTTTAATCAAAGCTTTGTGAACCGTGGCGTGCCACGACTGAGTCACCCGCCGCGACGTTGTAGTCAAAGCCTCCCAATGGTACTCAATGTACGGAATAATCTCCTTCTCCTTACTAAATATTAACCTATTAGAACCCTCCTTACAACTACTCTGTTGCAAATTGGCAATCGCCGTGACACACATCTGAGCAATTTCTACAAAAAAACTCAATCAATCACTCAAAGAAAACAACCTCATCCACCTTACGAGCCTGACTCTTCTTAAAACTCTCCAAGCCCGTGGGCGAGCAGTTCTTGCACAGGAACACATAATTCGCCAGAAATGGCACCAATTTACCCAATTGGTACCCAATACAGGACTCGTGGAACCATCGAGAGCAATTTGCACACAGCAACTCAACGATATTTAAATTGCGATCTTTCCCGCTGAAACAATTATGTTGTTAAATCAAGCAGGCAGTGTCGACGACCTACCAATAGCAGCTTCCAGGCTGCTCGCTTGTCTTTGCATTTTTTTCGCCAACTTCCGGTTTCGAAATCGAGGTGGCTGTAGAAGAGGAGTCTTGTAGCGTAATGGCAGTTGGTGTGTTGGTTTCCGCTGGGACGTTTTCCGGTCTGCTGGAACTGAAATGGGTGAGTGTTTGGGTTTATGAAGCGGCGTTTGTTTACTTTGAGTCGATGTCTTCGGTCATTTTTGGCGAAAAAAGGGGATTTTTAGGTTAGGTTGGGGAAGCGTTTGGGTGACGGGGGATTGTTTGGGTTGGGTTGGCAGCACTTCACGTAAGTAAGGTGTATAGTTGGTTGCAGAAGTTTGACTATGTTTAAAGTTTTATTTTTTTTTACCAACTTGAAGTAATTTTTTATTATTATTATTATTATTGTTATTAAATACATGCATTAGACGCATTCATCACAAGGTTACAGGTTAAATTAAGAACGAAAAAGTACAAAAGGTATGTTTTAATAATATAAACACCGAAGCGAAGCAGCGGAAATGTACCTAAAAAAACTATTATGACTATACTTATTAACGAATTAACGTAAATTTGTACCTTGGAATCTGTTGTGTTGACTACAGTAAAAAATCAGGTATCACCAAGTAGTGTTTCTCGTGGTCTTCGATAACAACCATAAAAGAATCCAACGCCTATAGCTACAGTCAGCATTGTTAGAAAAATTAAATAATCGTACCAAGTCATTCCAAGTATAACATAATCCATTTTCAAGGTAGAAGCAACAAAATGTTTACTTTAACTAAATATTTTTTGATAATATGAAAAACCTAATAAACGTAATGCAAATACTCAACGTATACATTTAAATTTTACAATGCTTTTAGCATATCTAAACAACAGAAACATAAAATGCGATAAAATCAGAATTTGCGTTACTTATACGTAATTCTAACATATAAATTTAACGAGAACTGAATTATTTATTTCTACGTCGTAGTCTGTCACGCTTCCACACCACATCTCTGTACCCAAAAAACCTGTCGCATATTACACGCTATACACAGTGTTGGGGACAGATACTTTTAAAAGTATCTAGATACAGATACAAGAAAACAGACACGTTTTTAAGCTTTGGCGAATAAAATAACTGGAAACATGTTTATGTATTTTTTTATGTATTGTTTAATGAATTTTTTTAAATTAACAACATTTCGAACGTATTGTCACCTAAATTATTTCTTCTTGGTGTCAGAATTTGGTTTCCACCCGTTCCACAGGTACAAAAGAAGGTATTGTGGTATTAAATTTAAAAAATAAACATTTTACTGTAGCATAGTTATTCAAGACTGAAAAATCTTTTCTTTTTTCCTGCAAATAGACCATCGCTTCTCTGTTTGATGTGTCGCAAATTGTGCAATATTTATTATGTACGCTTAAAAAGAATATTTTTTTTTTGTTTTTATTCCCATACTACAGTGTGCAAATTGTGTTTGAGTATATCTAATAATTATCTCCAGCATTAAAATTAATATTTCAAAAGAATACGGGAAATGATTATTCTGTGCTGAAGGTCTGTTGTCGACAACCTGTCATAAATTATTATTCTTCAATATCGGCTTACGTTGTTTTTACGACCATGTCCGGTAATCGTCTATCCCGGTGCGGCAGGTATATACATTGTAGGAAGAATTGCTCGTTCCGTTTAAGGCAAAATAAGTACAATTTCTTAGAAAGGTATTTAAACCCCTTATAAGATCAAAGGCTGCCTGGCAGGCCGGAATCACCAGAGTGCAACTTTAGATTTTCAGATTTTTGTTGAAACTCATTTTATTTTAATCTCGTTTCACGATTTCTGAGAATATATCACGATAAATTATTCTACCGAGAGTTGTAAAAATATTAATTTTATTGCCCAAAATTTACACTTAAACATAATCGGAATATTCTAGGGCAAAGCGGACCTGCCAAGCCCGCCTCGCGTTAGGTCCAACAATGAAAAAGTGAAGAAATGACACATGTGGCAACAGGAAAAGATGCCACATTTGTCTGAAAAATAAAGGTATACAACAGTAACAAATACGCGATTTATGCGAGAGAAATGTATGTACTGAACATTCGATTACTCGATTACAGAACTAATTTGTGCTAATTGAAAAAATTAATCATTATGTAACACGCAATTATTATCTATATTAATAAAAATGAATCGCCGAAACGTATGTACGCTCATAACTTCAGAACGGCTGCACCGAATTGGACGACTCTTTTTTTACGTGTTCCTTATTGTCAGGACAAGGTTTATATGTAAGAAAATTTATAAAAAATAAGACGGCTAAAAGATTTGAAAAAAAATAAAAATTTTGCATGGGAATCGCCACTTCGAATGAATTTGAATAGTTGGCGTTTCTGACGGACCTGTCGCCTAACTGACGTGTCATACAAAACTATTTCTTCCGTGCGATTGTGAAAAGTATTATTGCATTTCAAGTCGTTGTTTGTTTTTTCGTAACAAGAAACGTCGTTTATTTTAAGAAAAGTGTTCGTTAAAGTGAATTTAGTTACGCATTGCGAAAGTTTCTTATTAATTTTGATCTGCCATTCTATTTACGTATATTCACTTTGTTGGTTTCGACAAAACCTCAAACTTTACCGTTATTCGAGGATTTAATTTGAAATTTTCAATATTTTAAAATCCTCAAGACAAAATTTACAGATTTGATTGATCAGCGTTGTGCTCATAATCAACATAATAGTCAAACATTGAAGCGAGACATTGGGTGGTATGAATAAAACTGAGTAGATACTCATATTCGAAGTACGAAGTACCTACTTGTAAACATTGTATCTCCCCGGACACAAATTGAACATCTACGCGTTTTGTGAGCATTTAATCTAAAAATGAGCATCGGTGTGGCAAATTACTATTTGTCCTTATAAATAATAAATTAAATGTAATATATTTTTGTTTCCTTAAGAATACAAAGTTAACAAAGTTAGTTGAGTTACAAAAGTCTCTTTTGCTCCACGTTGGCCACCAACGAGCGATTTTCAAGATTTTTGTGAAACTTTGCTGGTTTTGAATTTGAATTTTCTGTCCTCGATAGTTGATGCTCAGCAAGAACCACGAGAAGGTCTGGAGCAGATCTCGCTAGGAAAGGAGAGGGCTAGGATTTGTTAATGAGGGATAGAACGTAATACAGTACAATACAACGGAAATACAATACAGGTACCTACAATCTAGCTACAATACAGAATACACTACAGATTCAGATACAATTCAGATACAATACAAATGCAAAGTTAGTACCCACCGGAAGAAATTGCACCAAAAATTGAGAATGTTGCAAAATGAAAACCCAAGCAAGCACACCGATGGAACTCGGAACGAAATCTATTGGTCGCAGCGCTCACACGCCCAAGGGAGAACGCAGCCGCATAAATCCAAGGTCGTCTTACCTCATTCTCAAAGAACGATGCAACCCAGCGTCTAAGGGCCAAAAGAACCCCCCCAGGCCAAAGCGTCTGACGACATGGAGAATTCAAATCCGGAACCAAAGAATGCACTGTTGCAAAATTAATACCCAAGCAAGCACACCGATGGAACTCGAAACGAAATCTGTAGGTCGCAGCGCTCACACGCCCAAGGGAGAACGCAGCCGCATAGATACAGGGCCGACTGACCTCATCCGTTTAGGATGATGAACTTCATCCGTTTAGGATGATGACCCAGCGTCTAAGGGCCAATAGAACCCCCCCAGGCCAGAGCGTCTGACGACATGGAGAATTCAGTCCCGGAACCAAAGAATGCACTGTTGCAAAATTAAAACCCAAGCAAATGCACCATGAAAACAAAGCATTTGCACCACTGGAGCTAAATTGGCAAGACCCAAGTTAAGTTAGTAACACATACAATATACAGTACAAAATGCTTCAATTACAAAAGTTACAATATACAAATTTCTCCACGTTTGCCACCAAAGAGCGATGACTTTGCTCGCTCGTTGCTGTTGCCCAGCAAGAACCAAACAATACGAGGAGGTCTGGAGTGCGTCTTGCCATTAAAAGAGAGGACTAAGGTTTGATACCATGGGTGAAGGACACCGTACTTTAAAAATGATGAATACGGTATTTTGTGAATTATGAACGCAGTACTTTGTATATTCTAAAGGCGTACTTTATCAGTCCTGAATGCATGTTATTAACAACATATTTAAAAAAAATCGGGCATTTTTGGAAAAATATCCACTTTCCTTCGTGTTCACAGCACTTAACACAAAACATTTTCGCTAATATTTATTAACAATAAATTAGAAATTCGCGAACACGTGCTACTTTTAACCCAAAACGAAGCTCCAATGTTGCTGCTACCAGACCGGAATCAAAACTGAACAGAAAGGATCGAAAATGTGACCTTTTATCAGGTAGCTCACGTGACAGTGACATCATCGTACGTCACCATGAGATTGCAAAAATTATTTTTCATATTTTAGATCAGAAATTGTACATTTTCGGGGTTAATTTAACAACGTTTAAACAAACTAATTTGTTTTTACTAACCTCGTGTTCTTAGGAAAACGGATTTCGGTTTAATTATCATATATATTGATAGTTATCATATTTGAACATTATGAATTGTATTAATTATGTTTAAATTTTATTTAATTATATCGCGAAAATGTATAGCTTTGACCCACCAACTTCAATCGTTTCGAAAATTTATCCAAAATCTAAACATTGTCGACCAAACGAATCACGGAAAAATATCCATTTTCGTTCGTGTTCACAGCACTAACACAACATATTTTCCGTAATATGTATTAATAATAAACTAGAAATTCGCTAAAACGCTCCACTTTTACGCCGAAATGAAGCGACGATCTTGCCGCCATCAAACAGAAATTAAAACTAAACACAAAGGACCGAAACACGTGACCTTTATACAAGTAGCTCAGGTGGCATTGACGTCATCGTACGTTACGATGAGATTGCAAAATTTATTTTTCATATTTTGGCCGGGAAAATGCACATTTTCGGGAATAATTTAACATTATTTAAACAAATTGATTTGTTTTTAATAATTTCGGGCTTGTAGGACAACGGGTTTCGGTTTAATTATCATACATTGATGCTTATCATATTTAAACATTATAAATGATATTAATTATGTTTAAAATTTATTTATTTATGTCGTGAAAATGTATAGCTTTGATCAAACGATTTCAATCGTTTCGAAAATTTTCCCAAAATTTTAAATATTGTCGAGTGAACGAATCACGGAATCCGATAAATTAAAACTGAACTCGAACTTACCCTGTTTTCGGTCCTTTTCGAAAAAATATCCATTTTCGTTCGTGTTCACAGTACTAATACAACAC